CCAGCGTATGGAATCCATACCTACAAAAACACATAAATGAACTGGAAAATGTACAAAGAAGAGCGACTAAACAAATACCGGGAATGAAGGAGTTGAACAATGATCACAGATTAAGGATATTAAAACTACCAACACTCAAACATAGAAGACTGCGAGGAGACATGATTCAAGTGTACAAACTAACTCACGGAGGATACGATAACGCGGTCAGCGAAGGATTTTTATGCCTAAATAATAACAAAAGAACAAGAGGCCACAGTCTCACACTACTAAAGGGGATGTGCAGGTTGAACTTAAGAAAATATGTTTTTTAAGAACGTATTGTAAACCACTGGAACTCCCTACCCGATACTGTCGTCACCTCACCAACAATCAAAACATTTAAATCCCGTCTGGATAAGTATTGGGGACAACCTGATTGTTTCTATAACCATGAGATAGACAATAATGAACTTATTCATTGCCGGGACGTCAGCATAGTGTCTGACGATATTCCAGATCTGGATATATAGGCATATTGCCTGCGTCCAGTATTTTCTATTTCATCAAATTTTATTGACAAGATGTCATAATCAATTGGATTGAATAACAGGCAAAGCCTATATAAATTCTCTCCGTCAAATGGCCAAAGTTGAATAAACAAGGAGACATAATATTTTAGACATGTTGCAAATGAAAAAAATAACACAAAATAATTCATAATAACACAAGGCTAAGGGGAAGTAACTCATGAAGGAAACATCTCACACACACACTTACACACACATACAAGTACATGTACAAATACATTTATTTCAGCATATATATACACTATCATAGACAGATATTGGCAGGCTTAGACCAAAAGTCCATGTGCATATATTGCACAGGTCACTGCTACCAACAACTGTTACAATTAAAAATAATAAATTCATTTAATACATATAAAGTGTAATTATTTACAATGTCATGATAAGTACACGCAATAGACAGTAGTCATGCTCAACTAGAATCTCCTGGATGAAATATAGAATATATAGTATATTTTTGTATACCATCATGGCTTTAAGTCATATAAAAATTAAAACGACGGGATTTTCCAATAAAAATATGCACATCATCAAGTATTCTTCTATTTGTAAGCCCATCACAATCAGGACAGCCCTGGAGAAGAATGTTTTTATCAATGTGGTTGTGGTTTCCATAACTATTAAGAGAAGTGAACAAAGTTGTTCTTTGATTATTAAAAATAGGACATTCCAAAAAGTAATGAGATACTGTTTCATGTTCAGCAGAGCAGGTACAAGCAGGACTATTAGTAAGATGGTCATGGTGTAAATCATAATTTAAATTACTGCAAGAGTTTCGAAGTCGACATAGAATAATACTTGCTCTTCGGTTACCTTCTGTTTTGAAAATTGAAACAGATTCACTATCAGAAATAATATCTTTATTCAAATATTTTTTTAATGCTGCAGGAGAGGGAGAATTAAGAAGATCAGAATTTGCAATGTTAATTGTGCGGCACATTTGAGGGAAAAAACTGTCAAAATAGTTATTAGTTCTACATAAAGGTGGGTTGAAAAGCCTAGTTTGTCTGAGAGGGTAGGGGTTATCATTTTGATTATTAATAAAGGGATTTAAAACATTTTGTAAGTATTGAGGTGTCTGCCAATGCATAATTTTGTACATCATTACATGTTTGTGTTTATTTCGTCTTACAGATAGTGTTTCCCAACCTAGTTCATTGTATAGTTTGTCATGTGATACCCCAGAACGAAGACCTGTTATTATCCTAGCTGCTTCTAATTGTACAGATTCAAGAATATCTTTTGCCTGTTGTGTACAATTATCCCAAATAATATCTGCATATTCCAAAATTGGCCTAATAAATCCCATATATATTTTAATTAAAGATTTTCTATTGACTTTAGTTTTGACATGGCGAAGAATATTAAGTCTATTGTAAGCTTTTTTGTATATATTCTGTATGTGCTGTTTCCATGTTGCATCATCTTGAAGTGTAAGTCCTAAGTGTTGATGTGATGATGTGTCTATGATTTGGCTATTTTGGAAAAATAGTGGGATGTGATGGGTGTCTTGTTTTCTAGAAAATATGAGTGATTTTGTTTTACTTGGATTGAATTTAATGTCCCAAGTTGTTGCCCATTCACCTATGTTAGTAAGATCAGTGTTGAGAGATTGTGCGGCCTGTGCTGGGTTATTATCTATAATTACATACAGAGAAGTGTCATCAGCAAAAAGTTTGATATTGGTGGAAACATTAGTAGTGATATCATTGATATAGAGAAGAAATAATAGTGGTCCGAGGACAGATCCTTGAGGTACCCCTGCATTTACATTCTTAAATTGTGAAAAATAACCTTCAGTATTTACTCTTTGCATTCTGTTAGACAGATAATTTTCAAACCACAAAAGTAGATTTCCATTTATACCATATAATTTCAATTTAAATAAAAGACCTTTGTGCTATACTCTGTCGAAGGCTTTACTGATATCACAAAAAACAAATCGAAGCTCCTTTCCTTTATCCATATTGCTTGCAATTTCATTATAAATAAACAAAAGCTGATTGACAGTAGAATCACCAGGTATAAAGCCAGACTGATGCTTAGTAATAATATCATTCTCAATCAAAAAGTTGTATAGATATTTAAAAAAAAAAATTTTCCATTATTTTACTGAAGCATGATGTAATTGAAATTGGTCGGTAATTTAACACATCATTAGATGAGCCATTTCCTTTATAAATAGCATTAACATTTGTTTGTTTCCAACTAAAAGGTATTATACCAGACTCTAGTGTCTTATTGAATAATAACATAAGAGGTAATTTAAGAGAAGCATGAAGCTTTTTCACAATTTTAGGAATAACACCATCAGAGCCTGGGGGTTTATTAGTGTTGAGTATATTAATTTGATCGGAAACATCTTGTTCAGTGATATGAATGTTTGATAGTGAATAGGGGGCATTGGGTTGTGCTGTTTGGGGTAATTCAAGGTCAGGTGTTGATGTAGAAATATTAGTGAAGTGATTGTTAAGAAGCTCTGCTTTTTCAGTTGGATGATGGATTATTTGGCCGTTGGATTCAAGTGGTGGAATAGAAGATGACTTATTAGAAAAATTGGTAATAGATTTAGCTATCTTCCACCATTTGTCTGGAGTAACCACATTTTCATTTAGTGACTTTTCAAGATTTTTTATAAAGTTTGCTTTTGCCTCACGGATAAGGTCAATAGTTTCATTTCGTAAGGTTCTAAATTGTTCCCAATAATGGGGATTATTTGTTAGTTTAGCTTTTCGGTGAATTCTATTTCGTTGTCTCATTTTCAATCTAATTGTATTATTCATCCATGGTTTATCATTTGGGCGCACAGTTATTACTTTTGTAGGAATGAATCTATTGACCTGCTCCGTGATTGCATTGACTATAGTGCTATTATAAGTATTAGAATCCTGATCTGAAGACAAATTCAACCAATCAATATCAAATAAGACATTGTTCATTCTATCAAAGTCTGCTTCATCATATTTTAAAATAGTTTTTTTATAGCTTACTTTTTTAAATACAGAATAAGAAATTGAAGCATGTACTGAGGAGTGATCACTGCAAAATGGTGGAGATACATGAGTATTTTTAACTATGTTTTGGTTATTAGTAAAGATAATATCAATGGATGTGGCACTGTCAGGTGTTATTCTTGTGGGTTCATTAATAAGACTAAGTAAATTATGTTTGATAAGGAGTCTTGATAAGTGATCATTCAACGGATGATTTAACATATCAATATTGATATCACCTGTCAGTACCACATCCAGTGAAGTATCTGTAGCTCTGGTCAACGTATTATCTAATTTATTCCAGTATTCAACATTACTTTCTGGTCTGTATAAACATCCAAGAAGAAATATATGATTATTAACTAATACTTCTAACCATATAAGTTCAACATCATCCTTTTCTAGGTCCATTCGCCTATTCATAACAATAGTATCTTTGTGATAAACTATAACCCCACCCCCCGGACCAGTAGTTCTATCTTTTCTATGAGGATTGGAATTGAAGGAGTGCATCTGAATGTCAAGGTTAGATATTGAAGGGTTTAAATGAGATTCTGTTATACAGACTATATCATTATCCTCAAATTCTGCTTCTACCAAGGCTGTCTTGTTTCTGAGAGATCTTACATTCAAATGAACCAAGTTTATATTTTGTACTGGCCCCGGATTACTTTCAATATCACAACACAAAGTTAGCACAACAAAATGTGAAGTCAGAAGAAAACATATGTTATCAAAATATACAGATCTGTTATCAGGTATTATACTAATGAAGTGAGAGCCAAGATGTAGATTTAGAAAATGCGCTTTGAATAACCTAAAAAACAGCCAGAGATCAGATTTAGACCATACCAATTTTACCTTGAAATTACCCATTGTCGATTAATAAGATGATGACTTGGTAGGTTCTGTTGATCTTCCAGCTGCTGAATAGTTTTCTTAACGCAATACATCGATTCCAGTTGAGCATGGCTGTATAATAAATATGGGACAAGCACAACACAATAACTACATACACACACACACACACAGATTTTATCAAAACACATGGTTTACAAAGCAGGAAACGGATGTGACTCATCACAATCTATCTATAGGTGCCGATTACTTGAAAAAAATGATATAAAAGGATACAGCCAATAAATCTACTACCCCGTTTCAAACAGAGGATATTAAATATGTAATATAGGTTTGTGTTTCGTCCGATAGGAAAAAAGCTGCAGATTATTGTATTTTTTGAAATATTTGACAAAAATGTGCAAGTCAATCAGGTCCCTGTGAATCAGGTTGCCTTTATTTAGTTATACTTGTCGATTATGACAGACATGAGATATTTGGGGCTTTAAACACAGTAATAAAATTCGCAGGTGGGTTTACTGGGAGAAATGGAAAGTCTTTATAATTGAAACCCAATGAGTCATGCACATGAGAGACGACGTGACTATACACGTAGTGATAAATGGATATATACAAACTGAATTGGGGATTATATTATTCACAAGATAAGATTTTACGATAGATATGCATAGGTAAGTTTCGGAATAACCACACAGCATTAACTTTACATGAATAATTTGAACCAAGATATATACACATTATTAATGTGTGTTGCTATAAATACATTGCCGGGGGGAAATGTATACATGTAGGTCACACATGGGTTGTAAACATTGATTCAAGTTTATAGTGTAATGTGACATTATTGCAGTTTTTGGACAATGATGCAGTGAAAATAAATGTATCGGTCGTTGTATATATATAGATTGATCTAGGTCATCAACGAAGACATACAATGTACAAATATTTGTTAATAAAAGATTGAGATGAGTAATTTATGGCTGATGAATTTGTTCGTTTTTCAAGGGATATACTATATATACATTATATTGTACATTTTATTATATTGGTAGTATATGTAAATACACATATGCATGTATTCCAAGTGCCAATACATTTATTATATTCTATAGATAAATATAGCCACGTAATTAATTGATGCACATGGTATAAGTTATACATACGCGGTGTATGAGTACATATACATACACGATTCTGCTATAAATACAAGTACATCTCCAGTTAGAATGCATCAATTGTGTAAATAATAATTTATACTAAAGTCAAGTTACACAATGTGAATGACTTGACAGCATCAGGATGACATACACATGAGTCGGTTAGAATAATACATGTAAACATTGCCTGTAACTAGGACATAAGTTTAATAAGAATGTATCCAAAACAGTATACAGTATACATGTATACCTAACATTATAGTTTTCCACATATCAGATAGAATTTTGTTATAATTTTAATAACTGAATGCACTTTTAAGCACATGGTGCACACATGTACATGTTCCTTGCTGCATTTATAGACATGGCAGTTCTACAATAAGGTTGTTGGGTTTGATTATCTATTTTCACACAAAATTTCAGTTAAAGTGTCAATACATGGCTACCAAGTTTATGTAAATGTACTTATATTGTGTATTATCCAGGTTATCGTTGCATTTAATATCTGATTAACTGCGTTAAATTATGATGCATTTTGCTGCCTCCAGTACACAAGTACGGATACACTACACACATGGAGGCACGAATAGTGCTTATACATTGCACGAGTGTTTAAACAAAGTTTGTAAATTTAATGTTCAGGTCACAGGCCCCTTTTCCATTCAACTCGCCAGTGTTATGATAATTCTTTCTATAACAGTCACAGCCAGTATTTGACACCTCAAATCACAAAAGGGCCAATGTAAAAGAGAGTTCTAGCCTTTTATCTTGAACATTGCACCATTCATTCTTTATAATTTTGCTGCCTTAACCTAACGCTGAATCAAATATGCCTTTTCCCTAATGTTTCACTGCCATAAAAAAATTATTTGATTCAAATCCTGTTTATGAATGGTATTGCAAATTACGAATGGGGATTGTGATAACAAAGTAACAAGTCCGCCAATCACTGTATGTAGGTCGTACATGCTTCATAAAGGATTGTAATTTAGGAAGTCTGTCACGTTCGTGTGTATTGTACATCATTCAAATATGTCTATCAGTACGAATATAGCGGTGATATATATGTATAACCACATTGCCGGTCTCAGTGTGACGTGACGGTGATACCGAGCTCAAGTGATTACACCGGAACAACTAGCAACACAATTATTATGTCTGGATATTCTTAATAACAGAACAAAATGGGTTTTCCCTCTCTGATCGGAAACGATCGTATTTGCAGTATTACGTCTCAATTCGGACATGGAGGATATTTTAATAAGTTACAAGAGGCCCAGAGTTATCGCTCACCTTGGTAATTAAGCAACGTTGGGAAAATGTTCTCATTGAATATGATACTGCAACTATTTCAAAATATTGGCTCCCCCCCCCCCTCATTGGTTTTCTAAATTCTTTCTGAACCTATAAATTGATATAGATTTTAAAAATTTTCCTCGATTTCCCCTTTGCAAATGGAATTTCTACAGAAAATGTTGTTGAAATCCCTCTATTGGGCCCTGCCCCTCTGCAAAAAGGAGGCCATACCCCTCGATTTATAAAAAAATTGAGCCCCTTTGCCCAAGGATGCTCTACACACTTTTGTTTCCCCTCCAATCGTACTGAAGAAGAAAGATTTTAAACATTAATTACTAAGGTAACCCATTGGGCCCGCCCCTTTGCCCAAAGGGGGCCACACCCTCCGTTTAAACAATATTGGGTCCCCCTTGCTCAAGAATGCTCTTTCCAATCAAACTAAAGGAGAACGGTTTTAAGGATTTATACCACTATCCCCTTCCGGGCCCGCTCTTTGCCCCCAGGAGGGCAACACCCTCCATTTATACACCTTTTCCAAAGGTTTGTTTGTTTGATTTTGTTCAACGTCTTATTATTAGCTTAGGTCATTTAAGGACGGCCTCCCCTGTGTGCAAGATGCATGCTTGTAGTGTATGTGTGTGTATATTGTGAGGCTGCGATATGTTCGTGTTTGTCTCCTTGTGATAGCGCGGAACTGATGCCGACTTTATAGTTCTACCTCACTGAAACATACTATGAGCGAATTTGAATTTGGTTAATATCTCTCCAATTGTACAGTAGAATGATTTTTAAGATTAACCTCAATTTCCCCTATTGGGCCTTCTCCCTGTGCTCCCTTACGTGACCGGCGGAGTGCTGTGCTGGGTGCCTTCGGCATAGCATTTCAGTGCTATCAGGAATATGAATTCGGCATCAGATCCGTGCTATCACAAGGCGAGCACACCATCATAACCCGTTTCCTGCATACACACACGCATACACTACATACATGGAGGCACGTCCTTAAATTACCTTAGCTGTTAACAAACCCGAGGTTTATTCAAAATTGTATCCCCTTTACACAAGGAAGCTCCAGCCAAATTGAGTCAAAATATTCTGAGCCTTTCAGGACTAGTACTTTTTTTAAAAGAAAAGACGGATGGACGGACGGACACCGCGCCACGACATCAGCTCACTTGTCCTTCGGGGTGAATATATTTCATTTAGTAACCTAGATTGATAAATATACATTTGGTGATATGCTATTACACAGCATTATATAAAGGTACGTGTTATTAAGTGAAGTGCTTTGTATGTTGTTTCATATAATGAAAACAGCATAAAACGTTTTTAAGAAAACACCACTTTATATAATGTCATTTAAAAGCCCCATTATTTCGTATAAATACGCCTCCTTGTTAATGTTCCGTTTCATAAATTAATCGTGGAAATATCCATATCCACATTCATTTCTAATACACTTGGTTGATAGGCACTATGGTCACCTTAAGGAGTCTAATTCTTGTATAGTTGACACACTTTACAACATTAATATACATACAAAATATGGCAAAGTGACCCGCTAAATGATATCTGGATTGAGCAGGTGTAATCTTGATTTCCATAATGTCCTCTAAATAGAAAAAAATAAAAAAACCACTTCCGATTCTGCAGGGGGAGACACATTAGTGGGGTTCAACAGGGAGAGACATTGGGGTTCAACAGGGAGAGACACATTAGTTGCCTTTTACTATCATACAGTGGGGTTCAACAGGCTTATTCTTTCCTCAAACCTGTTACTGATCTACAGCAATTATTTGAGTGCATCCTTCTTTTCGTCATGCACATATTTGTATTCTTCAACAAAATCAGATGTCTTTAGTATTTAATTTTAATGACAATACAATTTCCGTTATTTTATGGAATGGCCAGTAAGGAAAGGTAACTGTCTGTAGTAATACGATTTAAATGGAAGGGAAGCAAATGTTTTATTTAAATGCCACTCTTCCAAACAGCTCAGAGCTATAGGCTGGTAATCATAGTGAAACTTATTGGCGAACATCTCCTGGCGCGATACCAACTCCGTGAGATCACCTAAACCGTATATGCAAATACCCCGGACATGCTTGCCATGACAACCTCTTCCCCAGTTTGCATATGTTGCCAGAAAAGGTTTTTTGTTTGGATCACCTGAAACAATATAGAAAATGAATATTCATAACTGTCTAGTGATTCTAATTTACTACATCAAAAAGTTGCACTGTTGATGGACAATGCAATCCAGTACCATACAAATGGAAAATTCTAAAGATTTTACACGAAGCTCCATCCTAGTGCTGAACCTGGAAATTCGTTACATCGAGCTGTTTTCTAATTATCATGTTTTTGGACATTAAGAAATCATTTGTGCTGTTTCAAACAACTTGATATTGTGACCCTGGAATTGAGTCTTAGGCAATCATTTCAACATATATGATCTCTTCTCTCGCTCACGAGCATGCATGCGATTTGCACTAAATTCATCACCATAAGAGTTCTGTTTTGTTTTAAACAAATTTGACAATTCCGACATATAAAGGAAGTCAAGGTTATTAAATTATTTATTCAAACTTGCTACTGGCCAAATATCATCAACCTAGATCGAACCGTTTGACCTTGCAAATGAGTCTAGTCTGCTTTTAAACACGCTACTTGCGAAGTAACGTCACCTTACATCTCTTTTTTTATTTAATAACAATAAGGCCAGATGGATGCGGAATGGCTGTATAGGGCAGGTGAATAATTACTGGTATTTCATCTGTGTATTATGTTTACAGGACATGCAAGAACGACAATGATGTTCTGCTCCTATTGCGAGACTTTGATCTTGATCTTTCCTATTTTTCATCTCTAAACCAGTTTGTCAGTTTGTCTTGGCGATGTCTTCCTCGGCACCCACCTCATATGACCATATTGCGTGTATAGTGTATATTAAAGGGACAATTAAGGGGGGGGGGGTGTCATTATTTTGTCACAAAATTCTCCATGATTATATAGGTTGATACTCCTTATGAACAATTCATGTCATGAAATTGACAAGAGACAATGTTTTCTTGGCATATTTAAAAGGTAATTGAGAATTCATAACTGTACAGCCGTACATGTACGTTTTAGAGGCAGCCGTCGGTTAATTCCTAGCTAACGAATATGTAATTCCAGCCGAGGAGAGAAGGTAACTTCTCGCTTTATTCACCTAGCCACTCTGGAATACAAGTATATACATTTATTATGAATCAAAGTCATCTTCCAACAACATCTCAAACAACCTTATAAATTAGTGATCTGTTTTACGTTTAAACTTTTTGATATCTTACTTTCTGTGGTTTGAAATTCTCCCTGCGGTACTCTCTCAGTGCGTGCATGCTCTTATTGAACCTTTTTGTTTTCATTCAAAACCAAATGTGAACAGACATATCTGATTAGAGGAAAAATTATGATACTTCTAATTCTTTCTCGCGATATGTAAATTCAAGAATGTGTTATGTGTGAACTCGGACTCATAACTGACACTGTGGTATCGGTCGACAGCGAAATGCTGTACATGTTTACTTCTCATTGAAACGCCCGGATTTTGCTTTTTTTTGGTCGTAGCTATTTTTGTCACCGGCTTTTCCAAAAGATGAAACTGACTACACTGGACGTTGGCTTCAGGTCATGTCATTCTCAACTACGTAATCTTTCGTTAGGATATATATATTTTCAGTATCGGCTCGATTTTCAGGTTGTCATTTAATGAAATAGCCCTTCTAAACCCTACACAAACAAACCCATGAAGTTAAACCTATTTATATGCAATGTTATTACCTTAATCTCCGCGTAACTGTTTTCTACATACCTGTGTAACCTCCAGGTGCCCCGATTACCCGATCATGGTTTAACGTGGCCCAGTAATACTCGTCAGGACTATTAACGTCATTAAGATAGATAAGAAGGTCCGTTGATACTTGGTTATGAAGTATAAATTCAACGAATTGCCTGCTAAACACCCCGTAAGCACTACCCTTGACGATAGATATATTATGAGGTGGTTTATCCATTTTTGCAGCCGTCATCACCATCCTACCGTTTCTAACTACATGCTTGTTTGTTATTCTGCTCATCATCATTCGATTAGGCTGGGTGATGCCTTCGATGTCATTGAAACCATTATAAATTGTTAATATTTTAACTAACTCTAAATTTGTCTGTAACGGAAACTGTTGACTAGGAGTATTGATGAAATATTTCCATGACACAGGCGATTTTATCAAGTCTGCCATACAGTTTAAATCAGCCATCACTCTAGTCATACCGGAATATATCACATCCTCCAATTTTGAGCTTATGAACACATTATCAAAACATTTGGCAAGTGACGTAACAGCCCGGTGAACGATGGGATAGGCACTAAGGTCCACGTGAAGGCAGTAAACGTTATGTGGTCGATAGATGGCGCGGAGCAGCCTCTCGGCTTGTTCGACTTCCTTGTAAAGGAGAATGCTGAAAGCGATAGGGAATGCCCTTTCTGTCTCCGATACCATCTCCTCCCCCGGGTAACCTCTCATTTGTTTGAATGTGTCACAATCCTTGGTAAATTCGATATATGTCTGTTCGGGTATAATTCCAAGATCTTGTTGAGTAATGTGCTTGGCTTTATCAATTTCCATTTCATCGCCTTCTATAATTTTAACACAGTCTACTACCTGTACCAGTCGATTTGGCTTTTGAACAGATGTCGTTCTTTGTATTCTGTCGATCTTTTGCGATATACCTATGGGACTGAAGTACTGTGGAATTGCCAAGGAGTCTGAGATTGTTCTTCTATCGAACTCGTACATCACGTACACTGTCATTACAAACACCAGGGAATATACAGCTTTCAATCGCACCATTTTGCGTTCCCGAATGTCCTGAAAAAGAGAAAATGCGCATTTAAAGGGACATCATGTGATGAGCCATATTTTGTTTTAAATATTTGTTGTGTGCGCTTCCACTTATGTTAGCTTGCTACCTCCCATATGCATAGTCCGTTCCAAGTGTCCAGTTTGACGACTTAAATTGTTAGGGAAAGTCGTGTTTAAAAAGCGCCAATAACGTCACGTGACAGTTTTGAAATGAGGCAGTAAACAGTTTCCAGAGGGGCCGTCAGGCATCTGCAACTTCTTACTGCACTTTGAAACCAATTAATATGATTTCTAAGTCCGTGTTGAAACTTATTGAATCAGTAAGAAATATTTGTTGGCATTTCGGCATTATCTATAGGAAATATCTATTACCGGAATGTGACTGTTACAAATGTATACGGGGCTAAACACATTCCCCCAACCATGGGACAAACCTTTCTGTAAAAAAGGAATATCCAAGAGACGAATATCCCTTTTCAAATGTTTTCATCAAGAGTATATATATGCATTAACGGTCACCTGATATATTTATACAGAGAGTTGATTTTTGTTTTTAACATGAACAGAAATATTATTAAAAAGTGACAAAAAACAATAAAACCACCTTATTCAATATCTAGCATGCAGATTTAAGACTGAAAAGTATTTGATACTAGCACCTCTGATTCCTAACAAGGAAAATGAAGAAATTTTATGTTAGCACACGGACTCCATTGGGCCTCACCATACAGCCCTTGGGGTAGGGATGGCTCAAAATTTACAAAGTATCAAACTGTCAACCCCCTCCTTCCCCAAGGGCAAACGCGAGACCCCAGGGTCATGAAATTCACAATTTTGGTAAAACAGCTTAAGACCCTTCCATCTATGAAGAGCATTTGATTCTACCATATCTGGGTCTGGAGAAGATTTTTTTTGAAATTTCAGTCAATTTAACCCTTTTTGGTCCCACCCATCAGCCCCGGGGGGTCAGTCAGGACTGATATGTGCATACCATCAAACTGCTATCCAAAACAGATAATGCTAAGCCAAATTGAATTACTTCCAATGGCAATTAAACAAATGTTGGTCCAAAATGGGATTTCCCTATATAAGCTATAGTAAAGTTTACCCCCTCCCCAGGGGGAAACGTGATACCCCAGAATCAAGAAATTCACAATTTATTTTAATAAAGCACCTTCAGACCCTTCTATCCAGGAAGAGTATTTGATTCTACCATATCTTGATCTTGAGAAGAAGATTTTTGAAATTTTAGTAAATTTTACCCTTTTTGGCCCCGCCCCTCAGGCCCCTGGGGGCTGGGGTCCAAATAATTCACAATTTTAGTTGACCTTTGGCTAAGGAAGGTTTCTGCAAAATTTCATTGAAATTGGTTCAGGGGTTTTGGAGAAAGAAGTCGAAAATGTAAATTGTTTACGGACGGACGACGGACGCCGCCGGACAAAAGGCGAACGCAATAGGTCACTTAAGACTATGTCTCAGGTGACCTAAAAAAAGAAATGTTGTGATTTATTTTGTTACAACTCAATTTCTTTGGCTACTTTTTTTCTAGACCATGCATAATATATATTCATGTATACTCTCTTTCCCATTTTCACTGTCTTTTTACTACGTAAAATTAACCCCATATCTGACACATATTCTACATGTACATGTACGGAGTGGTTTTACCAGAAATGTTTATTGTGTGTGATGACTAAGTTTTCAATAATGTACAGAGATCAAATCATATTTGTAAATGGACCCTTTTTGTTTGTTTGTTTGTTTGTTTGATTTTGTTTAACGTCCTATTAACAGCTAAGGTCATTTAAGGACGGCCTCCCCTGTGTGCAAGATGCATGCGTGTAGTGTATGCGTGTGTATTTTGGGAGGCTGCGATATGTTCGTGTTTGTCTTCTTGTAATAGCGCGGAACTGATGCCGACTTTATAGTGCTACCTCACTGAAACATACTGCCGAAGACACCCAGCAGGACGCCCCACCCGGTCACATTATACTGACAACGGGCGAACCAGTCGTCCCACTCCTAATTTGCTGAGCGTTAAGCAGGAGTAGAAACTACCATTTTTAAAGACTTTGGTATGTCTCGGCCAGGGGACAGAACCCAAAGCCTTCCTCACAGGGGCGAACGCTCAACAAATGGCCAAAAGTGAGGCATTGTCAAGGGAGACATTAGGAAAAAGAAAGTTGTTTAGAAAGGAGAGAAGAGATAAGGTCCCAAATATAGTCGCCTCTTACGATCATGCAATTGGGGGCAGCAGGTACAATTCTTACGCCCTACCTGCAGGGGTTTGAACCCTTTTTATGTTGAGACAACTTTTCTTCAGTCAGTTCCTTTTGTATGAAAAAGAAGCCATAATTATCGGCAGTACGCGCCATTTTTTACAACGTACACAAATGACTTTTCCCCCGTTTTCAATGCGTATTCCGATACTATCTGAAGTTGAAAATTAATTATTTATAAAAAAATGTTGCATGATCATACATTATAAGTGAAAACATGAACTGTTGAAACATTACGATTTAATAAGTATTTTTGTTATGCAATCCTATTTACTATAAATAAGTAGGTTCTCCTTCCTCGGTTATTCCTCCTGAACCGTCATTTTGATATATATTTAAATCTTGCATGTTAATAAAAATAAATGTTTACTTCATCAATATAATTAAATCATACCACTTAACTGAACCCAGGAATATTATAAATTATAAAAATGTAATAGCGCACGTATCTCATTTGACCCCGAGTACCGACAGAGACGAGAACAGAATACGCCGTGGTCATCACAAGTTTTCATTCGGAGGGCCCCATAGCAAAATCAAACTGACCGGTCAGTTATCCCTTCATTTCGCATAAACTACTGTATATAGAAAAGCAAGGTTAGCTCTCTCCGATACATGCCCATTAGCATAAAAAAATAAGTCCATCTGAGTTCTAACTAAGAAAAAAGATACTAGCAAGGTAAATAAACAGCATATCCGGGAGAATACATGAACCGTACTAACTACTAACTGCTAGGGCAGTTATTTTCTACTTTGAATACTTCCCACCTGCAGTAATGATTCTGTACGGTGTAACATTTACTATGACTGTATAATGTTTCTATAAAATTAATGCACAAATATCACCATTTTCTTACACACTACATATTGCTCTCCCTATTAATTCATCGTTCTGATTTAACCTTCTATAGCTTCTATTTCCATCGATTTTATATACCGACGGCTCTAAGGTTCAAGGGGAAGTTACAGCAGCTTGTGCTGTCGGCAACACATTTTTTCTGCCGTTTACCCAATAATGCATCTTTTTTTACAGCTGAAGCAACTACTGTTGATCTGGCTTTTGATCAAATAGAAAAGGATAAAACAAACAAGAAAATTCGTGGAATTTATATCCCCCGCTTTCAGCACATATTGTAGGTAAACATTATTGAGGTTAAGTTTAAACATGCGAGTATCGTGCTGTTGAGAAATAATGTATAGCTTGAAACTCGAAGAAAGAAAAGCCTCATCTAATATTTGCTAGAGTTATTAAGCGTAAACTGCAGATAATGACTCTGCCAAATGGATTCCTTTTAAAGTGGTTGTCAAACTTGACCGAGCCCTTAATGCGTTGAACCCTATAACTGAGTTTGAAGACAATCGAATACTATTTGTGAGAGTTAATGAACAGAAACGGAAGATATATGGTCCCCTGAAAGTGGTAATCGAACTTGGTCGAGCCTTTAAGGCATTTAACCTTGTGACCAAGTTTGAAGAAAATCTGTTAACATTTGATGTAGTTATTGCACGGAAACGAAGCGCGGCAGATAGTGACGTTTTCCGTTATAGAAGGGGTCATTACTCCGCCAAATGGGTTAACTAAAAGTGGTCATCAAACTTGGCCGAGCCCTTAAGGCATTTCACCATGTGACCAAGTTTGAAGAAAATGGGTTAACATTTGTGTTTGGTTATTGCACGGAAACAAAGCGCGGTCGATAATGACGTTTTTCATTATTCAAGGGGCCATAACTCTGCCCAATGGGGTCCTCTGAAAGTGGTCGTCGAACCTGGCCGATTCCTTAAAGTATTAAACCCTGTGACTAAGTCTGAAGAAAATCAGTTGACATTTGTTGTAGTTGTTGCACGGAAACGAAGAGTGATAGACAGACGGACACACCCAAATTAATATCCCCAGTTTCGTTGAAAGCGGGGGATAAAAAAAAAATCTTCATCGACTCATTTTCATAATTTAAGGTTTTGTATTTACCTTTTACTGGCATGAAATACCTCTTCCGTGTTGATGGGCCGTAAAGAACACGATAAAAAAAATTCAAAACTTGTATTATGTAACTAGTGTTCCATCTCGTGAGAATCGGTGCCGGGACGAAGATCTTCTCGCTCGCTTTTGATAGGTCATTCATACATTACGCATTCTTATTTACATAAACGCAAAACCCGCATCAATGCATAGTGTAATACATGTTTGAAACATATACAGTAACCTTCTACTTTTCAGATTGTAATTAGATAATAATAAAAAAATAATATTGATTTTGACATGTTGCCGTAATCGTTGGTTACTCCTGTTTAAATCTCAGCAATTTAGGAGTGGGACGACTGGTTCGCCCGTTGTCAGGTATCTTCGGCAGTATGTTTCAGTGAGGTACATGTAGCACTTACATTTTGTATATATAAAGTCGGCATCAGTTCCGCGCTATCACAAGGAGACAAACACGAACATATCGCACCCTTCCAAAACACACGCATACACTACACGCATGCACCTTGCACACATGGGAGGCCGTCATAAAATGACCACAGCTGTTGATAGTGCGTTAAACAATACTAAACCAAACCAATCCGTTGGGAAAATGTCATTTTTCTATATTACGATACTTTTTTTTACAGTAGATATACTGAGAAATAAATATTCACATCTCGGTAAATGAAGAAATCATTACCAATTGGGACAATGGCATAACCTGCTACACTTTGCCTTTTCTTTTTGCGCTTTCTTGTCCGCGATCA